ATCCAGTATACTGAAAATACTAGCGGGTTAGTTCGTTGTGTTACTATAGAAAACAAAAGCCTTTCATAAGACTTGAACTAAGCCACAGCATACCCAGGTAGATCCTCACTTGAATTTAATCTACTATGACGTCATTACAAGCCACGGTACTTTATTTACCATTTTTGTTTTATTTATGACTATTGCACGATTTGTTTTTTTACTTTAATTAGCAGTCTCAGTCTACGCATACATAAAATAAAAATTTTATACTTAAAATTTGTATTTATAAAATATATCATCATCTAGAAAATTTATTTAAAACAATACATCCGTGGTGATAAAAAGATCTCTTGGCGATTTTCGTTCTGAAAGCAGTTAAATAAAGCAGATTGCTTTGTCTAGAGTTATGCTTGTGTAAATCTCTTTGTTAAAACCAAAAAACATATCTTGAAAATTTAGGGCATTACCCTAAAAAACATTTTTTTTTAAGCTAAAAAGTACATTCCTGGGGTCTTTTTTTCATGAAGCGCAGGTCGCTTAAGAATGTCTATTGCGAGGCAACTGCTAGTCGAACCAACAACAATTCTACCGGCTCTCCAAGTTCTGCATTTAATCTACAAATGGTCTAATTAAGTTGTAATAAAAAGGAATGGCACTCTGAGTCGTCAAATTACAGCGAAGACGGCATCACTTGCTCATGCGTTTGCGCGCCTGAGAAATTATTTGCTTTACGTGTTTGTCCCAACGAGGGCTTTCATCAAATACCAAGCTTTGATAAATAAACTCGTGAACTCTTTTTATTGGTTTTCCAATCAGAAGGCCTTGGGGCGGTCCCAAAAAACATGGCTTCAGTCTTTGTGACATAAATAAAAAGAATATTACTAGAAAGATAGTGTTAAATTTTATACAGTTCTTCGTTGAGGTTCTTTGAAAAAAAACAGATCGAAAGAGGCTTTGGAGGACGCCGAGAATCGATCTGTAATGTCAGCGTACATCAGAATACTCATAGGCGTACGGGCCGGGGGGGACGGGGAGGGGCTGCACCCCGCAAACTTTGGGCAACTCATTTTTTGGGCAGCACGAGAAATTTGGGCAAAGCTAGTTTTTAAAGAGGCTTGCATGTGTCTGTGTATTTTTTTTCGAAGAGATATTTTCTGTTTCAACCTGAAGTCGGCCGTCTCCCGGGTCCGGTCTTTGATCTTCCCCTTCGGGGGGATGAGTGTGGGCTCATTTTCCCGAACAGCGGCTGGTAATCGAGCTTACGTTGTAAAATGTAATTTGGATATATCAACAAAGTTGAAATGGTAAATTGGCCACCGTAACGATTACAAAAGGTGACGTTTCGAGCGTTAGCCCGAAAAGCCAGTTAATTCACACGAGACAGTGGTCGCCTGGCACATGATCACTTTCCGGATATTTTTGAAGGGGATCATATCTCGATATACATATTTGTAATTTTGTTGTTGTTGGGCACTGTGCTGCACTGCAGTAGTTAGTGTGGGGAGTTTCTAGTCGTGAATTTAATTAATTAGAGTCAATTTCGGCATAACTTTCTAGAATCATATTGTAATTATCCACTGGAGACTCTCAGAAGATCTGAGTCACGTGCTCGGCAACCACTGTCTCGTGTGAATTTAACTGGCTTTACCACGTCCGTTATGGCGTAAAGAGTGGAAGAGTGCTCCCCGCTCGGCAACTACGTCCACTGTTACGGAAATGTGCTTAAGGATACTGTGACACAGATTAAACCATTGCGAAAAGCTCTGGGAACTATCCAGGCTCTGTACAACTTTTTGGAAGCGAGTCCCAAACGACACGCCTTATTTAGTGACACAGACGTACAAGGTGAGGATCTGAAATTGACGCTGAAGTCCGGCATTAAGCGATGGTCATGCCGGTGGGAAGCCGCAAAGGCCGTACACGGGCAAATGGAACGGATTGTAACAGCCGTGCTCACACTGTCTTCAGACAAAGATCCAAAAACGTACTCTGAGAGCAGAGCCTTATTGAACGCCATTTGCGACTTGGAGTTTGTCTTTGGACTGTGTGCACGGAAAGTAATCCTAAGCAACACTTGTAGTCTGTGCCGATATCTTCAGGGGAGGACGGTCAACGTCATCTCCGCTCGTAGAAATGCGGAGTTAACCATTCGCACTTTACGCCAGTGTCGGAGTGAAGAAAGTTTCAAAAGTGTATGGCAGTTAGCCTCAGCAATGCGTCTGCAAATGAAGAACTGGCTGACCAATTCTCAGTTTTAATTACGAGAAACCAGCGTACCCAGAGAAACACCGTCCTGCCGCCTTCAAGCCCTTGTAGGTGAACACGCGTAAAGACATACGCAGACATCGGAATCGCACCATCGCATAAACACTTACTATGCGTCCATCGACAAGGTGCTGTCCTAGCTTGAGCTCAGGTTTAGCGGAAATGACCAGGAAATGCTCTGGGATTTGGGAAATATTTGTCAGAGTGAAACACCAGATAAAGAAAGCTTCTCCCGAGTTGCTAAATTTTACAAAATCGACGGGGACATTCTGGAAGCCGAGCAGAAAATGTACGCGAGTTTTCGTCGTTTACGTGGCTTAGGCTACATGACTGTTTCAGAAATGTTGCAGACAATGCACGAGAATGATCTATTTGATATGTTCTCCGAGTTTTCCAGTGTGGTACATATCCTTGCAGTGATACCTTCCACATCATGTTCTGCTGAAAGATCATTCAGTGGGTTGCGCGCGCAGATTGAAAACTTACCTCCGCAGCACCATGGGGCAACAACGTGTTAGTAACATCGCACTTATTAACACTGAAAGGGAACTGATGCCAACTCTGTAGCCGAGAAAGACATGGTCTTATCATTGATATATTTGGCCGTCGGAATGGCAGAGACAGCCATTTCTTTTAACGTGTTTCATATGTACGCCTATGTTAGTGTATCATATGACAAGTGTTTTGTAAAAATTTGGGCAACTTGCGAGAGTTTTTTGGGCAAATGGTTCACCGCCCCCCTTGGCAAAAAATTGCCCGTACGCCTATGAGAATACTACATTCAGATATCGCTTCGGTTAGATCTTTGGCATCAAGAGAGGATAGTCCTCGCTTGAAATCACATATTCTGCAGGTAATCCTCAAAGTTAGAATTGCCAAGACCAATTCGTCCTCTCTTGCCGAAGAAAGGGAAACGGTCACATGTGTCACGATGTTTTATTTGTTTTACATGAAATGTTGTTAGCTGGCCGAGATATAAGTGTGTAGCTCGGATGAAAGCGTGTTCAGTTTTTATTCTATTAAAGTTATCTTCACGTATCGAGTATTTGTTCCTCGCTGTCTTCGTTGAGTTCACCCGGCATTTCCGACAACGTTACAACATGAAAGTGGCGTAGAGGGGTTCTGGGGTGAAATATCTGAATTCACATATACAAACCCAGCTCTTGCACTCAAAAGAGGTGGCTAGCCTTGTGGCGTGAATGGATTTATTCATAAAGACTGATCTTTTGAAAAAAAGAAGAATTATTTTAATTTCCAAGCTTTGTTTTACACAGGTAAGCGTTTGTATTATTTCGTAACTCAGAGTAGTGTTAAATTTCTAATTAAAAGCACAGCATCCATATGCGTTGTTTTCTCAGGCACAATGTCAGGCTAAGAGAGCAGTTATGAAAAAAAATTCAATTTTCATTTTCTATCTTAAAACTTTCATTTCTTGTGACAAGTAATTTTCTCAAAGGCAGGTGATTTTCAGTTGATTCGTTTTTGCATGTTCATGTCCATAAATATTGAAATGTAGCATTTTTCTCCCGAGTGTAGTTTAACGACGAGAAGTTACCAAGCTAGGTTACATGATCGAATTAAATAGATTAACAGCCCTCTCTATCAGGTTAGCTGCTGAAAAAACTGAGCTCCTTCAAAAGACGACTCAAATGTAACAAATGATGTTCTCCAGTGATATGAAAGTTTAACGCATGGAACTGAATCCCAATTTAAAGGTGTCACTGAGGGGGTAGGGGAGCTTTGACGGTTGGCTATAAATTTTTCCGATTTTGACCGTTAAATTTTAAGGCCTTTGACGTTAAACAGTTAATCCATAGAGCCTTTGACAGTTCAAAATTTATCAGGAAGATATGCCCCCTATGAGTTTAAACCTATTTTGAGTATTTTCGTAAGGTATATGAGTCGGAGGTTATTTCCAGACGTATTTAGTCTTTCTCCGACCGAGTGAAGAAAAGCTATGACCCCCATCAATAAATAATTACTGCTTTAAAACAATACGAAAGATCACGATATTACAGGCGCAAACAATGTCAATAGATACGTATGATGCCCGATCCTCGCAGTAGAGAGCGCTATTTATGCAATAGGATCGGGCATCATACGTATCTAATACCGCAGTTCAAAATATATGAACTTCATATATACATTGTACCAAATGTCAATAAAATTTGGCAAACCTAGCATTCCTAGTACTGGACATAGTATGTTCAAAGCACAAATGAAACTATGGCCGCAAAAAATGTACCAAAAGTCAACGCAATCACTTTGAATTCTCATTGGCTAATGAAAATTTAAACTTTGTTCTGACTGGTCGCTTGGATCACTTTGCTATTGGTTCTTCGAAACTCAGTTGAAAACTGCTCTTATGACTTAAAGGTAACGTTATTAAATTTAGTCCAAATGTTGAAGAGTTTATTGCATCCAGAGCCAAAGATTATTACATTTCGGACCTAATTAAATTCAGGGTCAGATGTAACATGTAGCTTTTTAGGAAAATCGCTTTTCGAACCCAAATTCGTTCATTTCACTTATTTTACTCACAGTGCTTGATGTTGAAGAGTTTACTGCGCCAAGGCCAAAAATTATTACATTTCGAACTTAATTGAATTCAGGGTCAGTTGTAACATGTAGCTTTATAGCACAGACGCCTTTCGAACCCAAATTCGTAATAACTCGTACAAACAACCTACACTGAATCCACTTGTTTTACTTACAGTGCTTGATGTAGTCTTTCTTCCACTGGATCCTGAGCGATGAATTCATCAGAGGACTCGACCAGCAGCTGTCCCATAACATTCCCCGGTGATGTTCCAGGGGAAAATGTCAGAGTGGCTCCAACCATTGCAGCGGCTGTGTTGACTATATTTTCAAGCTTTATTGCTACAACAGCGAACTTTTTGGTCATGTGGGCTATAAGAAAGACACCTTCGCTGCATACACCATCTGCTGTATTTCTCTTCAACCTGGCATTATCAGACTTCGTTGTCGGTATTTACGTCCAACCCTTATGCGCCGTACACCTTTTGGCTGCTGTGGCTCACAATCTCTCCCTGTATTGTACGACTGGCGCTATGCTGTACCCAGTTGGTGTTTACCTTTCGTTTTACTCGCTCATGATCATCGCTGCAGTAACTGTTGATCGATACCTCGCGCTCGTTTTACATCTACGATACGCTGCCATCATTACTGTGAGGCGCGTGATCCAGTTTAACATCGCAGTTGTGATTGCTACCTTTCCAGTTGCGTTATGTTATTGGTTTTTGAGGATCGACTGGATCAGAACTGCTGCTCTCTTAATTGGCCTTTCCTTGGCTATCGCGGGCACGTTAGCCGTTCCTCTCTGTTATTACAAGATTTTTATGATTTTACGGCGACATAAAAGGCAGTTACAGGATCAAAACAACTTAGCAAAGAGGATTCACGGATTTTCACAGAATGACCTCTCCAAGTACAGGAAATCTGTCCTTGCAATTCTGTACGTACTTGGTGTAATGATATTAAGTTATTTGCCTGGTACAATTAGTTTTGTGTTGGTGAATTTCTTTGACGTGGACGTAATTAACATAAGCAAGGAAGTTCTTTTTGTCTCAGCTATGGTGGTGTTGTGGAATTCTTCGTTTAATCCATTATTTTATTGTTGGAGAATTACAGAAATTCGACGGTTTGTGATCTCGAAATTGCAACGCTTATGTAGAGTCAGCGGTCTATCGCACAATACTGTGCTCGTTGAACCAATCAAACCGTTCCACAGCAAATAAATCGACACACCTTGCAACTTGAAGGGGAGCTAAGGAGCCCACATGAATTTAACCCTCGACTGAAATGTTGCGGCGCACGTTTGGCTTTGCGGTCCATCGTAAGCGATGTTTTTCTTACAAAATTCAGTTTAATCAGCGAGGGAAAATAATGTATAAACAAATTGTTAACAAAATGACAATGCTTCCAAACATGAAGCTTTGTAACACTGGACGCATCATGAATTTACAGTAAAAGTACACAAGCTATCACCAATAATACAGAATAATGAAATTCAGGTGAACACATAGACGTAATCCTCAGGGATTGTTTCTCCGAGAAAATGACAACAAATAGTTAGGAATAAAAGCAGCGAGAACTCTTCCCCTCATGTTGGATATCAACAAGCCTCTTGGTCACTTTAGGGCGGGTGTACATGTAAGATTTAATAAGTAAAAAGTGACACAGGAAATTTTAAACTGATGAACGGATGGCCCTCTGTATTAATCCTTTGACCCCTGACAGTGACCAGCATCTAATTTCTCCTTACATATTACCCTTGAATCCCACATTAAGGTCAGGAGAATAATGGAAATGATCACCAACTAAAGAAGGGTTTGATTGTTAAACAAATTCTTTTTGTCAGCACCTTAGGAAATGTATAGAGAACATTATGGAGAATATGTATTCTGATGTTAGGGTACGAGTTTCGAGTAAACTGAAAACATGTAAGTTTACAACATATACCTGTAGTTAATTAATAAAGAAGAACCACATAAACACTAGGCGAAAAATATTTTCTGATGGCAGAACTAAAAGGGATGACGGTTTGTCTTGTGCTTATTTCAATTTGCTTGTACTTCGAACAAGTTCCGTTATTTAATTCATTTGGGGCATCATGAAGATAAAGTTATTAAGAAAAATGGGAGACGATTAGTCTTCTAGAAGTGTCGGTGTGATATTTGGGATAACCTTTTTCTTTGAAAGTTCCCAAGTTTGCAAGTGAAATAATGAAAAACCTTTGCTTATCATACTTTCGTATCGGTGGCATCAAATACGTTTAAAAGTGTTCAAGAGCTAGAGTTTCATGCTATGCTTTTATATACAATAGCAACTGAATAGTAACAAAGACTGATCAATTTAAAGTTCTCAAATCCGGTCTTGGGGTCTAGAAAGAAATTTAATTAAAAAACACACTGTGAAGAGTGTTAAAAACAGTAAAGGGAAATCTGACCCCCCAGACTGATCTATTGCGCTGAAAAGCATCTAAGTCAAGCTGAACTTGTTACTTAAGCAAAGTTATCGTTGTTGTTGCGATACACATAACTCTTTTCAAATGTGAAGGTTGCAGGTCAGTCAACTCAAGGGAAAAGGGAATCTTAGCTCTGTACTGAGGTACGTGAAGTTACTTGTCGCTAAACGTTTTCCGCCGCAGCTCTTTCATTTGTCAGCTGTTTTACCGCTTAGCTCTCTCGGCAGTAAAACGTTAAGTTCGTATGTTTTCTTGTTTAAAATATCCTCAGAAAGGTTTTTCTTTTTTCTTTGCTGTCAACCTGATCGATAGCAAGCGAACGTCGTTTTAAAGATGAAGGCCTGCAAAGAACTTAGCAATTTTACTTTAAAAAGGCGCAAAAAAAAAAATCTGTCCAAGAGAAAAAGAAAAATAGCTGTCAAGACTTACTTTGAAAAAACTTTCCTTTTCTAACAAATGTTGTTGCAACGTAATTTGGGCGCTACTCAAACGCTTTACAAAGACAGATGCGAGCAAGATATTTGCAAAAAAGAAAAAAAAATTCACATAAAATAGATGACCATATTGTTAAAGGTTCGAGCCACTTCCAAGATCTTTTCAATAATTACCCTTCATTCTTCTGTCAATAGGTTAATACAATGAAACAAAAGATTTTAAGAAAGGGGAATATCTCTTGAGAAGAATTCCGGGCACACTCAGTTTCAGTTGGAACTAATTTAGTCACGTGATGCGATTTAAAACACCAATCGCGCAAGGGCTGAGATAGGTTGGGTTAGATAAAAAGAAGACACTTTTCAGATGATAAATTTATCTCCTCGTTACCCGTTTGCTAAAAAACCGAATGTATTGTTCAAGGACCGCCTCGTGTACTGACTGTAAAATTTTATTTCATTTACTTCACAGTAGTTATCCTAATTTGCTAAGCTTCTTCTCTTACTGAAGAAAGATAAGGAGAAACGAACAAACACCATGACCTTTCGTGCTAATTTTAGCACTTTTAGTGATATCAATAACTGCACAGTCGAGTTTGATGGAATTTCTCCAAATGAAAATCTTCCTGTATCTATTTTTCATAACGTTGTCAACATTCTTTCAATCCCTGTTGCAACAGTGGCGAACTTTTTTGTTCTGTGGGCCATAAAAGAGAGACCTTCGTTGCATACACCATCTTCAGTGTTTCTGTTTGTACTTGCGCTCTCCGATTTTGCAATTGGTGTCTTCATTCAACCGTTGATTCTCATGAGATCTTTTGGCGCGTTGACCCATAATATTCGCTTGTACTGCACGTCCAGCGTTATAATTCTACCTGTGGGTATCACCCTCGCTGCAGTGTCCTTCGTCAACATAACAGAGATAAGTTTGGATCGATACCTGGCATTAGTACTACATCTACGATATCCCTCAATCATCACTGTGAGACGTGTGGTCACGTTTAAAATCATTACATCCGTTGTGTTCTTGCCAATGTCGATTTACTTCTGGTTCTCGGAGGAGTGGTTCCGTATGACAGCTCTTTTAGTTGGGATCACATTGGCAGTTATCTGCATCGCACTCATTCCCTTCTCATATTATCAAATTTTCAAAATATTGCGACGGCACAAAAAACAGATACAGAATCAAAACAACGTAGCTACATGCATGCAAGGATTTTCTGAAAATGAAATTTCCAAGTACAGAAAATCCGTATTTGCGATTCTCTACGTTCTTGGCGCAGTCACCTTAAGTTACATACCATGTGGAATATGTGCGTGGATGCAGATAATGTTCCATATGGAGATAAACGAGTTTGTGATTAGTTCTGCAGGACTATTGGTGTTACTGAACTCTTCAATAAATCCTCTTGTCTACTGTTGGAGGATGACTGAAATTCGACGGTTTGTGTTTATGAAATTACGTTGCGTGTTTAACGTGGATCGTGCAACACAAGTTCGACCAGTTGGAAAAATTACACGCTGAGGGAGCACGCAGAAGTATACCCCATTCGGAGCATCAGCAACCTCTTACGTCTCCACCAGCCATTGATATGAACAGAATATCCTATTTCCAAAACTTTCCTAACCATTAGATTTTACATGATCAACGGCAAAGTTCGCTTTAAAGTAAAAGTAATTATCTATCCTTGGAACTTTTAAACAACACTTCTCGACGTTTCCAGATGGTCTCTTGAATTTCAGGGAAAAATGGAATCCCTGTGTTGTACCAAGACACTATACCCTACGTAGATGCGTTAAACTTAATTTTCATAATAGGAGAGGGAGTGTGGAATAGGAGAGGGGAGAGGGGGAGAGTGTGGGGGAGAGGGAAGAGGGAGAGTGTGGATTGCGGGGTAGAGGGGAGAGACTGTGGAGTGGGGGGAGAGGGAAGGAGGAGAGAGTGTGGAGTGGGTGGAGAGTGTGTGGAGTGGGGGGAGAGAGGGGAGAGAGGGAAGAGGGAGAGAGTGTGGAGTGGGGGGAAGAGCAGAGAAGGAAAGAGTGTGGAGTGGGGGGGAGAGCGGAGAAGAAGAGAGTGTGGAGAGAGGGGAGAGTGGGGGAGAGAGGAAGAGAGTGTGGAGTGGGGAGGGAGATGCAGCAGCCGCTACGAGAGCGTCTTGGTGGAACTTAAAAGATACCAAATATATAACCTCAGCATACCCACTTACTTCACGAGTAGTATAAGGGAGCACTTTGGTACACAGCCATTCAAAGGAGAGGATTTCGTACTAGGCGGGTTTAAATGAGCCAATCACATAGCTGGTGTATAATCTACTTCTCTGATTGGCTGTGTACCGTAATGCCCCCTTGTACTACTAACAAGCTTGTTGTATTATCAACTCCGTCCAAAATGATTCCAAATTTCCTTTCCACAAGGTAATCAATATTACATATATAATTGTGCAAGAAGCAAATCAACAATGACATATACAATTCGAACATTTAACAGACGATGTTATACAGCCCCTTGCTGTCAAGACGATGGAGAGTCTTTGATTAGTAGTCATGTGATTCTGCATAAATTAAAATGTGTATAAATTAATCTGATTGGGGAAAAATACTAAATGTTTCCCTTGGAGGCGAAAATCAAGTGTATAATGTTAAACGACAAAAAGTATCGCCCTTCCTGGTCAAAAGGTCAAAAGTAGATAAAATGAAATGGTCTCACCAAACATCAAAGTTAAACGGTAACATTTCTACCCTATGAAAGACAGAGACGAAAACATTTACTCCGATGGGTCTTTTCCCACATTGATCAGAAATTGAAATTCGAACAGTTTATTGCATTTCTCAAAATCAAGAGTAATCTTAAGCTTATTTAGTTTGTTATTACTAAGTAAGCTTAAATGTTACAAAGTGATTAAATTGGTTTTTTGACTTTAACGAGTTTTATGCTATTAAAAAATTCATAAGAAAATATATTCGGCAAAGCTGTACAATAATAGCCTGAAAATTGATGCAATCATAGCACAGGGACAATTAAACTCTTAACTTCTGATTAGCACCTCTGCCTTCTGGCTGCGACACATTTCTTGGGAAACTAAAAGAATCAGTTTTTAGATCAAGATAACAGGCTTACACTCTCCACATAACAGGTTTGTTTTCTTCTCATCGGCTGCGCGCTGTGTATGTATTGATAACACTGCGCGCTGTGTATGTATTGATAACGTAGGGCCGGAGAAGTTGCTTGTTACTTAAAGAGAAATAAAAGGTTTAAGTTATCTCAAGATAAGTAAAACGTTTGCATTTAAAAGGCCGGTATGACCCAGTCCGGCAGGACCGTTAGCGATCGAATTATTCATGACTAAGAATGAAAGTGTTTTGCTGGAACAAACGTAAAGGAAGTCGAAGATATTGTCACCTTGGCTTCGGGATGATTCGGTTCTTCGCGAGAAATTTTCGGTTTACCTCGTTTGGCGCTGTCCGTTGTCGTGCTGCATTCGTTTCTCGTTGCGCACTTCGCTAATAGTTGTCCAAGTCTCGTTTGCTGTATACTTAAATCTTTTCTTCACGTGTAAGATTCGGGAAATTAACACGAAATAGCCGCTTTCTCGCGTGAGGTGTTCGCCTTCTGAGAAGCCACCGATATAGTAATCACATGTCGTTTTAAGTTAGTCGGTTTTGTCGTGGAGAGTTAGGTTCGTTTTCGGAAGATTCGTTTCTGGTTTCTTTTCGATTCCTTTCGAGCGTTTTTTAACTCCACATTAGTTATTCTTCCCACGGGCTGACATCTGTGTCGATCGCCAAGCAGTTGTAAGCAGCGTAGCGAATCTTTTCTTCCGCTACTTTCGCACTGAAAGCAAAACAATGACAGTGAAAGCTTGTTTGTGACGTAGTCTAATTCAAGTATGCGATGAAAAAGTTATTGGAGGTTTTCTTTTATATTGAGAAATACATTACGGACACGTTAAGCCGGGTTCTATTTTGAGCCAACAAAACCAGAACTATAACTATATCGCTCCCTCAGACGCGAGTTTGGATTACTCGCAGTTTTTTCTCTCAAGTGTTTGGGACATGTAGGCACTAGGCATGGCGTTTTCCACGTTTGGTTTGCTATCTGAAATGTCATTTCAGTGGAGTAGTCCCCTTAATTATAACAGCTAAGGCCTGGTGGCATAAATTGAATTCAGTGAAGAAAAACACACCTTGTATATTCTGGTAGAAAAAGTGTGCTGGAACAAGTAGCAGCTTCAGGTAATGAGTCAGCTTGCACAGAACTAAGATCGAAAAAGAGAAAAGCCATCAATAAAGAAAACCGAAGAGTTAAGACGACCTTAGACAACGAGCAGTCCTTCCCTCTTTAGCTTAGTACTAGTCTAGAGCAGGGTATCCCACAGCATTAACTCTGGTGTGATGTTCCCCTGAAAGTTTGTCGACATATGCTGGCCACGACCACAACTCTCTTTTCCATTGTAAATGTCTAACCTGCCGCAGTGAAGGTGTAGGTAATTCTGTGAGCTGAAGAAAAAAACCGGAAGAACATTTCCAACACAGTTAAGGTCAGTTCTCACCTTCTCCCAGGACAGATGTACAAAGGAGCTGGAAGTCGTCTTCGTCCCGTGACAAAACGTAGAAATCGACTGCGATCATCTAAGCAACACAAAAAGCAAGTAAAGATTGGTCTAGCATCCTAACATGAAGCGACTAGGAGTGCTGCTGTTCCTTCCACCCACCCCTCCCTCCCCTTTGAGAAGGATAGCCAAAACTTCGTCGGGTTTACCCAACAACTAACCTGTACCCATTTATTCTCTGGGGTGGGGAAAGGCACTGTAACAGGAAAATAAACTATTTAAGTAAACAATACGACCCGATGTTTCTTGTGAAAACATTGCGATTAATAACTGAGGAATAAATAAGATATAAACTGTTGTTGTTCTCCGTGGTTTTGTAGAAAAATGATCTTTTAATCGTTTTTCTCACGATGTAGCGGCAGGCTACCAATTATTTTGATACACATAGCATTATATTTTATAAGACAATATGACAATGTTTAGATAAAGTGTATGATTCATGCAAAAGTTGGCTATGCGCGATCTGTGTGATAAGCCTATCTTTTGAAACATAACCTACCGTTTGTGAAATTCTCCAACGCTTTCCACAAAAACTTCACGCGCCTGTCATTCTCGGTAATATCTTCGTAGTGCACTGTTATAAGATAAGGAAAAGAAAGCTAATAAGCAACAGCTTTCCCACTGACTCTCCACGAACTTGCATACGACACGTGGGGATAACACGCGAAGGATGCGCTTACCACTTAGAGAGCGTTTGACATTCAAGAAAACTCAATTTTAGAGTGTACTACCTACAGCTACAAAGAAGAATTCAGAAAGATGTGCGCAACCGTGCCATTCTACCGAGGCGCGCATGCGCTCCGTGAAGGGTGTAAGCGTCAGGCATGCCAGACGATTAGACCACACTGGCGATCACATGGCTACACCTAGAAGCCACATGACACTTCAGCGGATACCAGGCCCGTCGGCTTGAGGCAAAGTAAGCTATATTGTGAACAAAAATAGCTTTCATCCATTTGGAACATAGGTTCAAAGAGAGAACACTCACTACACTTTTTTAATGCCTCAACTGCCAGATCAGGATCGCCACACACTCTTCTCTCCAGTTCCTGCCAAGTAAGAAGGTCGAGTACAGCCTGGGAAAGAACTTTTAGAAGACCCCGTCTGATCGCTTCAATCTGCAGGCAAAATGAGAAGATTTTTATCGTTGAATAACTAAGAGTATCATATGCGCGCTGTTGTAAGCATTTTGCCGTGTCGACTGTTGTTTTTTTTTTTTTTAAGAAAACGTAACACAGAAGGTTAGTTTTTTCTCAAATTTTGTCACAGACTGACATTTGACTCGTGATTAAAAGTAACAAACAGATGGAATTGGTCTCCACTTGGTCATTATTCATCAGCCTTTTCCCTATGAACCCCTTAGGGTAACTTGTATCTAATTTATCCTCACAATGTCACCCCAGAATCAAACATTAAGGTCATGAAAATAAAGAAAATAATCACCATCTAAAGAAGCTCTTGATTGTTAAACAAATTCTCCTTGTCAGCATCTTAGGAAATGTATAGAGAAGAGTATGGAGAATATGTAGACTGATATTAGGGTGTAAAGGGTTAAGACTGAAAAGCTAAATTTAGGAACTAAAACTTGTTACGCAAAATGTTACCTGCTGTTTCCCTTCACCCATCCGGCAGTTTCGCACCAGTCGAATGTACTCAGTTCTTTCTTCATATTCGACGAATTTGTCAGCTCCTCCAGGGACTAGGTTTACTAATGTGTTATCGCTTAAAACCTGTTGGGGAAGGGAAGGGGAGGGGAGGGGGTGGTTAGTAAAAGACTTGAGGGAGGGAAGGGAAGGGACGACCAAAGGTTGAGAACAATGACGGATTTGATAACTCGGGTGTTATGGCTCCTTTACAAGTTGGTTACGGGTGGAGGGGGGGGGGGTTGGGTTGGCAACGAGTGACAAGGTATTGAGATCTATTATCAAAAACGCCTGTGACAGGCAGAGAACCTCAGTATTTCGGCCATGCTGGTTTTTGTTTGGTCTATAAGAAATAAGGGGCGGACCACGGACCATGTGCGCGTAAACGTCCCCCTTCTCATTCCCCGGAGATCTCGCCACTCTGTTGTTGGGACGTTGGGACGTTGGGACATCTTGACGGGTAAAATACTGCAAAAGACTTCCAAATATGGCGAGAATACCGCTGATCCCTTTTCCCCAAGGCTCAATTGTCACCTTTCTGTTCTAAACACATTATAATGTCATTTGT